ATCAAATGTTTTGTTTAGAGCACTGTAGGGTGCCTTTGACAAGTGCCCAGTCTTTCTTAAAGTGTTTAGATTTTTAGAACTTTCAAGGTGTCAAGTTTAGTTATTTCCAGGGAAAAAGGACTCGGGAAGATTCCTTCATTCAACACGTCCGTACTCAGTGGCCACTGTCAGTGACCCCCTGGGCTGGACTTGATGTGCTCCCTGCTCTTTTAAAAGGCTGTGCCGACTTGAGGGCAAGAAAGCTGGAGGGTAGTCTCAGTTACTTGAGTTCCCTGTGTGAAGCTGGGACCCTGATGCTTTCAGTTTGCAGGCAGACGGCATGACAAGGACTGAGCCACATTGTCACTTCAGTGGAATGATGGATTTCAGGAGAAATCCTTCTAGAGATTCTGATCTCATGGGGGACTCAGGAACTTGCATTTTAATTAGCAACCCCAAATAATTCATGTACACACTGTAATTTAGGAAACACTGTTCTAATGATTTAAAAGCCTTTGACCATGTTGACTTTGCTTAATTTTTTGTGTGTCTAAACATCAAACCAGCAGTGATGACAAGATAGAGGCTGAATAAGCAAGCATAATAAATGAATAAAATGTGAGTTAGGGGCATCGCTGTTTGGAAAAATTAACCAACTCAGCAAACTTTTGCTGGCTACTCAGTCTTTACCTTTGAAGGAGACTGTGGCAGCCTCCACGTTTAGGGGAGTAAGAAGCAAGTGTTTGGCAACCAGTGTCACGGGCTAGGTAGTTTTTACGGGGAAGATAAAGCTAGAGCCTTGTTGCAACAAGCAGAGTTGGAGCCTGTGACTTTGAATTCGCAACAGGTCATTTCAGCTTAGTTCTTGGACAAAGAGGAGTTGTAGTCATAATTATAATAGTTCTTAATGATCTTCTTAGAGCGACTGTGTGGGCTGGAACAAAGAATAGAGAATAATTTTCTATGCGTAACATTTCCAAAATGCCATAACTATGTAGGAGAAATGCTTATGTGTTTGTAAAATGCACTGGCTTTCTCAGAATCGGAGAAATCACAGATTTAAAAGGATTCTTCAGGATCTTCTAGTCCAATCCTAATCCTCATGTAACCACCCCCAGATACTAAGAACCTAACAAGTAAATTCAGAAAGAATTTGATTTAAGCGGAACTCTGTGATAATCAGAGCTAAGATATCTCTCCAAAACTAGACTTGTATAAGTCAGGAAAAACAAGTTGGCATTATCAACTGTTGTGAGCATGATTTGTAGACTGAATCAAACTTACTGGGAAAACTGATTTTTTAAAGCAAGTATTTATCAATTACTAACTCTCTGTTAGGTGCTTTGTTGGAATTGATCTTCATGAAGGTGGTATCTTTTAAACATGTAAATAAATTTAGAGATATTAAGTTACTTAATTGAGATCTCACAGCTAATACCAAAATTGAAAACCAGGTCTTGTCTGGCTCCAAGACAGATACAGAAACACCGTATAAAACATCTGGAATGATGGTCCAGATGTGATTTTAAAAAAAAAATCTGCAATCATCAAACAAGTCATAAATTAGTTGAATAGACTTTTTGAGACAGACAGATCCAGTTTGAAATCCTACTTCTGTCACATGTAGGATCTTGGGGAAAAATCTGAGCCTCTCCTTGCCTCTGTGATCTATAAAATGGGAATAATAGAGTGTCATGGAGTGCTCTTAAGATTATATGTAAAGCACCTAATAGTACAGTATCTGACAAGGATCTGCCACTCCAAGACAACAGAGGTAATTCTACTAGACTGTAGCAATGTAAGAAAGTACCACCTTCATTTTTGGCCAGCGGGATTCAGGATTA